CCACACGTGACGCAGAAAATGTAGAAGAGCCAAAGGAGAAGGAATCTCTGACACGAAGCGCCTTGACACAATCACTACTCTACATGTTGGCCTTCATATTTACTTATTCTCCATCATTAGCTTATTTCTCTAACCCAGAAATGGTGGACTCCAGAGTTGGAAAATCAATTCTTTTATGGGGAAACGCTACGATTTACCCCATCTATGGCATCTTCCTGATTCTCATTTACACCAGACCAAAGGTGCAAATACTCTCCAAGATGTTCCCCAAAGCATCTTGGTCTCTGTGCTTCCAGGTTGTATTAGGTTCAGGAGGAGAAGTCCCACCTGCGCATGAGTTGAAACCCTCTCATCTTCCTCAGATGTCGATGGAAGTGCGAGAAGCACCCGAATCACCCCCATTTGACTCAGATCTTGCGTTGTCTATGTCGGAGGATGTTTCGTATGAGGAAATGAAGAGTAATATGATGGCAGTTTCGAAGGAAGAAGGGTGGTCTAATCAAGCTTGGTCTAATGTTAGTGACTTATCTCGGTCAACTAACCTTATCCCTGTCAGTAACTGATATTAATATGTACAAAAAATAAATGTATGTATTTGAAAATATAGAATTTATAAAGACACTGCTTTATTTAAACTTGGCCTTTCCATACGCTGATCGATTTTGAACTTTGAACTCTGAGTCTGACTCCCTCCTCTAATTTTTCAAATTTAGTTGCCTCATCGCCGAAAAACGCTAAAATAGGGATATACAGCATTTTTATAATTGCCCCCATCCTTGTATTTGCCTAAAATATTATTTCCTACGACTTTTACCGCACTTTTGATTTTTTAGGCGAGCCAAAACCAACTCCTGCTTTTCCTCCTCACGCTTCACGCTTCACGCCTCATCACTCTTGGTAGCAACTCATGTTCATTACGTTACGTTTTCTTGAGTATTCATCAACTTGAAACAAAGTAATTAAGCAATATGAAACGCAAAGCATCAGCAAAGGGAAGTCCCCTTGTGTCTGCAAGTAGTAAAAAGATCAAGTCAAAAGAGCTGATATCAACAGATGTTGACACATCTCTCAACTCCGCATCATCTACGGTTCTCAACGCCAAGACTCCAAAAGTAGCAAAAGGAAAAGAAGCTTCGGCTACCATTACACCTACACTTGTTACTCCATCTGCAGCAATAGCAGCAACAGTGCCTATTCCAGTCAGTGCATCTGCCAGTCAGCAAACATCTACTCCACTGGCACAACCGCCTCCAGTCCAAGCTTCAAATGAAAGCAGCGAGAAAGATGCGAATCCTAACATCAACGATCTACTCGTGAACCTTAACACGAAATCAGTAGATCAGACCCCCGCCTCTCCTGAGATGGAAGAGGTAACCACTGACAAGTCCAACAGTGGGCCTTCATCTGCTGCAATCCATGTGTCAAAGTCTACGGATAAACATTTGATCAAGTCATTTCAAGATGACACAGAGAGTGACACCAGTGCAAAAGAGTCGAATCCTACCCCTACCACTCCAGCAAAGTCTAAACCTTCTTCTTCTGCAAAGAAATCTGATGTGAAAAAGAAGAATGTTGCAAAGAGGAATAGACGAATCAAGTTTGCAGTTGTCCTTCCAACCGTATTTGCCGCAGGAAGATACCTATTGAAGAGTAAGCAGTGGAAGCATTCTCCGAAGAAGGCTCTTTCTAGTCTGAATACAATATCTACCAAAAGTTATAGCGTAGATAGTACTATGCCTAGTGATGATGTTGTCATGGATGTGGGATCAATGACTGAGAAACTAGACGAAATTATGGAGAAGAAGATAGATATGGAGTCTACCTTCAATCAAACTGTAGATATGGCGGCTGAAGATAAGGTTGAGGACAAAGAACCTGTTTCTGACGATGATGTAGAAGAAGAAGCGAAAGCTGAATCTGAGAATATCGACGAGATTGATAGTCTTGAAGCAGAAGAACCAGTGCAGGAAGAACCTATTTCCGAAGATGCAATGGAACAAGTCGAAGAATCTACATCAGAAGAACCAGTGCAGGAAGAATCCATTTCCGAAGATGCTATGGAACAAGTCGAAGAGTCTACATTAGAAGAACCAGTGCAGGAAGAATCCATTTCCGAAGATGCTATGGAACAAGTCTTGTCTGAAGAAGCTGTGGAAGAAGACTTAACAGAAGGAGATAATGAACCAATTTCTGAATCTGCTGTAGAAGCTAGTTTGCCTTCAGAATCTGTAGAGAATATCGAGAAAGTTGATATCAAGACAACTATCGAAGTAGCTTCTCCAGATCAGTATGGAATTGATGTCGACCAAGACGAAATCAACACAAAGAGTGATGATGGTGCAGGAATCAAAATGCTTTCACCAGAGCAATTCGGTGTTGACATGGATCAGGAATCGGATGAAGATGACATTGTTCTAGCTTCCGAATTGAAGAATGTACTCCAGTCAAAGTTGAAGGGAGCAAGAAATTTCCTACAGGAAAAGACCCCTTTGAAAAATGTTCAAAAGGTAGTGCAGAATGGACTGGAACAAGTTCACTTGAAAGAAAAAGTGCAACATAAATTTGAACAGACCAACAATTTGAGAAAGAATGTACAATCAAAGCTTCGAGAGACTAACTTGAAGGATGTTCGGGGTGCAGTTCAGACAAAATTCGAAAAAGTCAAAGTAATGATCCACGATGAAAAAGAAAGACTTCAAGAGGAGGCGAAGCATGGATCATGCTCCAATCCACTGTCGTCATTGCTCTCAGAGGAATGCCATGACGCCAACATTGTGAACGGAGTGTTGAATGCGATGATGGAGTAAAGCTTGGACTCTACTCTATATTTTCGTAATTGATAAGGTCAAAGGAGCAAAGATTTTCAACATGTGTTTATCATACTATCGGGGGTTTTATGTCGATCAGAATATACAGAGAAGAAGAAGGAGACAGAGAAGTTTATCACTATATACTATAGATCTTTAAATATAGTAGTGCACATTTGCAATTTACACGTAATGGACTCTCGTATTTTTATTCTCTGTCATGATGAAATTGGTGGCTTTGAAAGTTGTTTTGTAAATGTGAAGCTTTTTGAATAAGATATCATACCTCTTTTATCCAAAATAATTGTAATCTTTGGACAACCAGCTAAGGAAAAGATAGATAACAAATCTGCATTAAATGAAATCCAAACATTGAAAACAGTCAAACAAGACTCAGGGTCAAAAGCTATTGCGTACAAAATACAAGCCTAACCCAAAAGTCAGTTGGTTACCATGAAGTGCAAGAAATAAAAGTAAACTTTACTTTGGACAAGCTATGTCTGAATGAAAGATAGATAGACAAATTCTGATATCAAAAATGAAATCGGCGCAAAAATCTGAGTAGGATAGAGTACCATAACATATAGGTTCTACTTTGAAAAAAACTAGGACTGATTCCAAGAGTGAGGATCGAGATGGTGCATCAAGTGGTGACTATGAAAAGAATATTTTCGAACAGGTATCTGACTTGTTGACTTGCAGTGATACTTTGGAAGAAGGTTTGCAGCAAGTTTTGGATCACTTCACCAACACTGGTGGCAATTTGAATGAAAGAACCATCTACTGGCGTTGTGATGAATTTGGCAGGAAGGAGTATATATCTGAGAGAATTAGAAATGCGTGGATCACCTTTTACAAAGGTGAACGATCCAACCGTGGTAATTCCAACGCAAGACGCTTGACAACGCAAGAACAGGCACGTTATGATAATTCATTTGAGGGACTTGTTTCAAAGGCGGAAGAAAAGTGGAACGAAAAGCCTGATGATGTTGTACAAGTAAAGATCAAAATCTGGCTTAAACTTTCCCGCAAGGAGAAGAACAAAGCGATGAGTCAGAATAGTGAGTTGAATCAACCAGAGTGGAAACTTGAAGGTCACTTACAATTACCATTTGTATTTGAAACCCTCCGAACAAAAGTCAAAAAAGATAATACTTCGGAGAATTTTGATCTTCAATTGGTGCAGCATGAACATGGACAAAAAAAAGACCGACCATATGTGACTCGAGATGATTACAAGTACAAGCTTGCGACAATTGTTGTAACTTCAAAGGAATAGTGTAACATAACTTGTATAAAGAAAACCGTGTACAGTAACTTCTTCTCAGACACTTCATCTTTCTCATACGGTGCATTGAAATAAATCAAGTCTATTCTTTCTCCATGACTATCGCCTTCTTCAAATCTAGTATTTATGGTCAGTGCATGCGAGTGATGAATGAGCTGGAAACCAGTATATCTTTCCGTTCCTTTTACTAAAGATTCCTCAATGAAAGTTGTATTCATTTACATCGCACTTAGATAAAGTATCATCACCCTCTCCATCTCTATCTTTGCCAATAATTTCAACAGTATCAGTATTGGCATCAATCTTCAAAACACCACTTAGATGCAGTTCTCATCTTCTCTTATCACCATACCATTTATTTTGTTAGTTCTAACGTTGTTTTTTACTTTTCAGTTGGTATAGCTTCTTGATGACAAAGAAGCTGTATAATCGTGATCCGTGGTCGGCTCTCTAAAAATAGAAAATGAATTTCATCACAACCAAAAGAAATATGTTCTACAACCCACTAGCAACTACTACTTCTTCCACACACTGTATATTCAATGAGAAACAAGGGAGTGGAAAGATGATGCATGTTTTGACCTGAGTTTGAGTGGCTCTCAAGCGGTGTGACAAACCATCATCGCTGAAAAGCTAAATTAATAATAATTAGCCAAAGATATTGTCTTTTCCAAAAAAACGTTGAAATTGCAGAATAGTAGTACATACAAGTACATTTTACATTGTTTACCAAGTTGTGCTGAAATGTTTGATGAGTTTTAGGATACTGTGAAAGTATTTACACGCTAGTTCACAAAGTTGTGAAAATTAGAATTTTGTTAAAATTTTCATTTACACATCGCAAACAAATTGCATCTAATAAATGACGAAAATAAAAAGATCCATTAGCGATCGCTTTGCTTTTTTACTCTACCCGAGACTTGAACTCGGAACCTTCACATTAGGAGTGTGACGCGCTACCATTGCGCCAGAAGAGCAGAACAGTTGTCTAGCGAAAAATATCAATATATAATATCTTTTTATGATAGTGACGCACTAAGTTGGGAGCTTACTACTTTTTAACTCCATTCACATTTTACATTTTCCAATCCTAGTTCTAGTTCTTATTATTATTCATATTTAACATGAAGATTGCATCCACAACTTTAAGCCTAGCCCTAGTTTCCACTTCTATGGCGTTTACGCCTTTAGCAGTTGCACCATCTATGCTTGTCGCACAGAACACACATCATCTCAACTCTTTAACATTTACACGTGGACCTACAAAAGTTAATACAATTCTTTATGAAACAGTAGATGCGTCAGAATCATCGGAAGTCTTACCTCCTGCTGAACCAGTAAAACCTAAGCCTCTGTCAGATGAAGAGCTTGGAATTATTTCTGAAATTGCAAAGAAGGAAGCAAATGAGCTATCATCTTTTCTTTTATCGAAAATCTCTCAGATGCCACCTAATACTATTTTGACATTGCGTAATGCATCTGAGGAAGAATTCCTCGATGAAGTAACTGATGAACAAAAACAAGATTTGAAAATAGTAGGTGATGCATTAGTTGAAATTATGGACGAGACTTTGAAAGCGGGAAGAGATCTTTTGCAAACCTTTTTGCAATGTGGAGAAATTCGTAAGCTCGATGGAGCTATTGGAAAAGCAAATAAGGAAGGAAAACTTGATATGGGTTTTTTTGCTGTACTAAGTATGAACATTCGTGATGCAACTATTGAAGCACGTGAGAATGGTGAATCTACTGTTGCTTCAGAAGAAGGACAGATGGGATCTGGAGAGAATCCAGGAAGATTGCAGATTCTTCAACATATTTACACTAGATGCCAAGAAGAGGTTGAGAAAGTGGTTAGTCCAGGCGTTGGTTTGTTGAATAAATTGCTGAGAACTGAACAAAGTAGTATTCGTGCAAATCAATTGAGTCACTATTTGTGTCCTCAAGCTCCAAAGACCATCAAGTCTCCAGATGGTAAGGAGGTTGAATTGGCTGGAAGTAAAGCACTAGTTAATCCATCTGAATTCATTGAAGCTCTTCAAAATGCAGTTAAACAAATTCGCACTATTGAAAAATCTGGAGGAGCTGATAAGGCAGCAGCGGCTGGTCTTGTAGAGAGTTGTCGACAAGTTGCAATTGAGGCTCGTGTGGCTATAGGAGAAGGTTATGGAGTTGAAAGTGAAGAACTCAAAGAATTTGAATTAGCTCTACAACCAGTATTCCGTCCAGAAACACCAGAAAGTGAATATATCAAAGGACTTTGAAGTAATATTACGTAGGACACAGTTAAAATTAGACTAAACAAGTTTTTGCATTTAATTTCTTCGTATTTGTATACCTACTCGTACATAGACTAGTTCTTTTTACAAACTGAAGATTAAGATAACTATATTTCAAGCCCTCGTCCTCAAGTGTGAACGAAATATATTTGGATTGTACGGAATGCATTCCGATGAAAAAGAATCACTCTCGTTCCCTAGTCATGTTCTGCAAATATAATTGCAACAGCATCTCACTGCCTGGAAGATAGGTACCATACTAAACCTTTGGACTTTAAGTAGAGAAAGTGTAGATGCAGAGAAGCAAACTGAAGTCAAAAGAACAGAGATAAGAAGCACAGCAGAACAGCATTGGAAAAAATGCTAAAAAATGTCAATCAGACTTCTCTTTTTGTCCTCTTCCCCTTCTTATCTTTTTGGAAGAACTCCAACAAGTCAGGTTGAAATCGGTTTGTTTGTTTTTTCCTTTCGAAACTACGAATAAGTAAATGATAGTACATAGTAGGTTCACCCTATTTTGTAAAAAGGGCAGCACTTAGCTTATGTTAGAATGTCTGTACAATAGACAATAGAATGGTCCTAGGTAGAGTGTCTTTTACTTGCAGACAGTCTGACCTTCTATCCGTCAATCATGTCAAGTAGGTAGTTACAATTGTGAGAATGAACGAATCATCTTCACCCATTTAGAGTCAACAGTTAGTAGTGCGACGCGAACAATAGAACGGAGCGAATCATTTCACCCCGTTGGGGTCATCTGTTTGTAGTGTGACGCGAACGCACGAACGCACGGAAAAATAAACGGGGTAAGGAATCGGTTCCCTGACAAACCGATAATAAGGAAAGATTTTGTAGACAGACAGCAAGAAAGCAGAGTAAAGGGTGAAAGATGAGATGCATTCGAATTCACAATGCTATGCAAAAAGGAAACTAGTAAGTGCTCCTATCCACCTATACCGACATATCCCTATTGTATAGAATACATCAGTCTCGCTAGTAGGAATGAAGAACTCCTCCGTAATCTATAGAATGCCGCAAATGAGTCCTGATGGGGATCGCATCAATCTAGCAACACAGAAAGGAGCCAATGCATACATCCGTCTACTGCAAAAGGATGGAATGCCTCCATTCAGCTCGAAACTCTTGGTCTATATCAACCATTACATTCACAAGCCTCAAAATAATATCGAAGAAGTGCGCCGGCAATTACAGGTGGATGCAGGCGAAAGTATCTTGCAAAGCTTGTATAGCACGTTGAGATGTATTTTCATTCATGCTTCCAATGACTTGTTGCAAGAAGTAGTTACTGATACCGAGCTACGTATCATTTTCAATCACTTTGTATCTTTGATGAAATGTGCCATATCAAGAAAAAACAAAGGTATAGTCATTGACGAGGCAGGTGTACATGAAGCAATGCTTGTCATGAGTAACGTACTCAACCTCAATCCCAGTCATGATACCATTCAGGAGTTTCTGAAGTCTCTAGCAGATACTGCAAAAAGTGCAGCCAATGTCTCTCCTCAAGATAGCGGAGTGGGGTATTGCTTATGTCACACCATGATAGAATGTTTCTATTACAGTATCACCAAGCATGGTACCAAGAAGATTAGTATCGAAAAGAGATTCATGATGATGCACAAGACCGGAATGCTGGAGCAAGTATTGCGCCATATTCATTTACCTTGGACTCAAACCACCAACAGCGAGATGCGAGAAAAAATGCGTTTCAATTTTATAACTCTAGCGAGCTCTACCTTCAGTCTAAGTAATATGTTCAAAGCAGGATCACCTTCTCGTGACGCTCTTGTTGATATTCTCGAAGGGCGGATCAAGCCATGTCCAGAGAATGAGCATATGATGGAGATTCTACAGGCTTTGAAGAAATTTATTGACATGGGGCTTACATCAGGTAATCCAGACTCAGACGGCTATATTCCAAAGCATCACTTTTGCTGTAGAAAGTGTAAAAAAGGTGATCCCACCCGAAAGTTACTTGTTTGTGCAAATTGCAAAGAATATCAATGTGAGTATTGCATCTCAATGAATCTTATTATATACCCCTCAATCTAATCCAGAACTGTTATTCTATTAAAGATTGTTCTCGGGAGTGCCAAGTTGCTGATTGGAAAGATCACAAGGAGCAATGCAAAATAATCTCATCGGCGTTGGGAAGTAAACGCGAGAAATTCCACGCAATTGCTACAAAATTTACTACTGAACATAAAAACTCCATTTATGAAGCGATGACTAAGTGCTATGATGGAAACGATTTGGTCCTTGACTTGGATTTTTCCAATGACAGTTCGCCTGAGCTTCCCCCAGCATTTCGTAATCCTCCTGAGTTTGAGATATTTCCAGCTGATATTTTCTGGAATCGAGAAAAGGAAAAGGTATGTTGCAATGACATTACTATTGCTAATTTTGCTGTACTTTAAATCCTATGTACGAGAATTTCTGAATTTCTGGAATCTTAAAGGCACCTGATCATTGGTTCTTCAAGGACATGGGCGGGGGTGAACCCTACTACACCGATGAAAAGATCAAGAACATGAAAAAAGTATTAGATTCAAGAAATGGGGAAAGAAATTTTACATTATTCATTTTTATGAAACTCAGTGATACCCCGTATATTGTTACAATGCATATTCCAAAAATGACAATGGAAGACGAATACCTGTTAAATGGGAAGAGTAAGTCATGCCAGCAAGACAGAGAATATATCCGACAGAAGTCAGATCAAATTCTATCAGAGAAATTCAAAGATCTCTCTGTATCAGAGAAGGAGAATGTTTTCAAAATGTGTACTGAAATGGTTAGGAAGGATATTTGGGACAAGATGTTTTCGTAGGGATATTGGACTGGCATACGCGAGATCTACCTGCTATTCAGTACTGCTTTGTTCAATGTGAATGCGGTGAAGACATAGTCAGAGCAAATAAATGTACAAAAATTCGAGACCAGAAATGTACTATGGCCAGGGACAAAATACAAATCTGTAATTCGTTTAATACAAATACATTCCTGAATTGTGAGCGTATGCAAAAAAATACAGCATGAGTTATTCGTTGCATCAGCCTTCTCTATCTCTGCCTCCGCATTTGGCTTGAGCCACACATCTAATAATTAGGGTTAAGTCACACATCTAATATAGATTATTATCATCATTTACGCTGCAGAAGATTCCAGAATAATACAAATACTGACTTCATAAGTTAGTAAAGGCTGCAATGCGACATATTCTTGAAAGAAAGCTGCAATCGCAACTATTTGCATCTATTCTGCTACAGACTGATAAAATGTATGTACATTCTTCTCTTCAAAGCATTTGCCCTTGAGGCCTAACCCATGGGATAGAAAGTACAAACATTCTCTATCCAGACGGTTTCTCAATTTCATAGCTCTTTCATTGCCTTTCTTGCTGACTAGTTTCCATTTTCTGAAGGCTTTCCACAACGGACACAAAATCTCGTGGCCAATCCGCATTCCTTGTATAGCATCCTTTTTCCATGTCATACGCTGATGGTCAAGGCTACAGTAGCAAGCAACACGACAGCCGCTGCACACGAGGGCTTCTGTTGTAGTACGTTTTTCATGGCAAGTAAAGCAATGCCTCTCATGGTGCCATGCCCTTTCGAGGTATGTTTCTACATATTCGATCGCATTGCTGCATAGTTGTGAGGATAGTTGCTTATCATCTATTT